GGCAGATTACTCAGGATGAATTGTACAATATATCACTCGAATGGGGTGAGCCTTTACATTTTTTGTTATTCAATCACTTATCTATACAACCACAATGATGGGGCGTTTAAAAATAACTATCATCCTGATTCCAAGGTGTACCCATTTACCTGGTGTCAGTGAAGAAAGGGTGGCATGTTTCAGACGCCTTTGAGGACCTTTTAAGACAGATGAGGATACGTTATCCAGTGTATAAGGAAGCACAGAATATGCCGTTGTAGGGCCCTAGATGATCGACAATATTTCCGACAATCACATCCTTCGCGGTACATCCCGTTGCCATATTGTCGTCCCCTGACAGGCAAGTCTTGTTAGTGATACACCTATTAAAGTTCAACCACCACATACCGGGACAGAAGGTGTCACATCCAGCCTTACATTTCCACATCTTCACTTAACGAAAATTGCCCGAAAAAAGCACTACTACGATAAAATTTAGTATGTTCATTCTTCGGGTCATAACCAGACGGTGACATGGGTGATGCTAGCCTTTCTCTCGACCACCTCAGTCCAACAAGACCTCGGTTACATTGACATTGGAGAGTCCGGCATAGTCACACAACTTTAGCACTCAAACAATGACATAATGCAGCAACATATCAATATAATTGCGAACGATAGAGGTAAGGAACCCACTATGCAAACGGGGGGTGAGGTCCAAAAAAATGACCTAATATCGACACCAGAAGGCAAACAAACTAGAAAAAATACTCCTTCACAAAACATCAGAACGTTCTCCGCCGTTATTCTAGGAGGTGAAATTCATTGTCGCCTCGCTCAAAACACGCATACTCAAAGTAACCATAGCACATGGCGCTCAAAAGTCTGCATTAACTCTAAGATATATGAAGGGCTATTTTCACGAAGCGGTACGGCATATTCTGTGCTTCCTTATACAGTGGTTAACGTTACTACACCCAGTATGACCCTACTGTGAGGCCATCTCACGCAGACGAACTCAAATACTGACATGAAAGCATCTTGTTATCTAGATTGAAGGTTTTTCCTTATCTACTTTATCTTTTCAAAGGTCGACTCACACTTTACTGATAGAATCGTACAGACGAAAGGTCGACCTGGATGGAGAAACTTCAGAGGTATGTACAACTCTATATGTGTTCCTGAACCTGTCCCGATATAATATCTACTTTCATGGTATTGGGGGGCGATCTGTCGAATCACGGTTGCCTGTTCTTCAATGCTTTGTTTATGGCGCTGCGACTGATATTACTGGTTTAGTTGGAAATATTAGACACTGCTGGA